GCCTATCTCGTCTGCTTTGTTTTTAGCTCTCTGTTAAACCAATCATAAGGTATCTGAGGCAGAGTCACATTTTTACGATGTAAACAATTATATTTCAACAGAGTAATTTAGATGCTCTATGACTGTATAAATTTTCCTTTCTTGTCTTCATGGACATTTAGGTTTAGTCATTAGATTTGTCATGAACTGTGTTTCCTATTGTGGTAAACAGTAACTCACTTGCTTTTCCACTTTTTTTTCTTGAAATGTAGGTAATATTTAGATTGATATGTTTTATTGTAGTTTTATTTTTTGATGAGAAAAACTACATTCTTGAAAACACTGAAACACTATACATCTCTGTCTGAAGCAACACATACCTTTTTTCTTTGTTACCATTTGCAATTTACTGTGGTGGAACAATTTTATTTCATCATGTGTCTAAGAGCTTTTGTAGCTTTCAATTTCAAGTAATAAACTTACCTAGTTTTCTGGGTATCTTGGGCTATAGAAATATTCAAATGTGCCATCCTCTTCACTGTTATGCAGAGTTACATAGTTACTTATATTGAACATTTTTTCACATTTTCTGGCATTCGTTATTTGTTTCTGGGTTGTGTTCCTTGGAGAAATTTTTATAGTAAAGCTTAGTCATTTTTTCTCTTTGTATATGTATGTCGACATAGTAGTTCATGTGCCTGCACTTATCTCTGCATGGGTATGTAAAACACAGAAATTGACATTGTTTTTTCCTTTTTAAATTTATTTTATAGAAAACTACATATCCATCTCCCCATGCCCTCACCCTCCCAACCTCCCATGCCCCCCACCAATCCCCCAATCAACCCACCCACCACCCCCTAAGCTCATCAAGACCCTTCATGGGGGACCATCAAAGTCCATCACATCATTTGGGGGAGGGTCCAGACCCCTCTCTCTGCATCTGAGCTGCAACAGCATCCCTCTATTGGTGATGGCTCCCTAAGTCCATCTGTGGCCCAGGAAAATACCTTGGCTCTACTGCTAGAGGTTGCAGAGACTGTCCTGGCCACCCAGGTGGCATTGGTTTTTTGCCTCAATCATTATTCACATTGATTTTGAGACATTGTTTCCCACTGAATCTAGTTAATACAACTAAACTGTCTGGCAGTGGGCCCTAAGGATTCTCTTTCCTCTGCTTCCCCATAATCAGCCTTGTATGCACACATAATGCTTGTCTGACTTTGAACAGGGTGCCTGAGATCAAGTTCCGGTCCTTATGCTTCTACCACAAATTCTTCACATACTCTGATATTCACTCAGGTATTTAGCATCTTTTAAATATTTTATTTCAGATTTTAATATTCAGTTATTTGTCTTATTTATACATTATAGATAAAAGCATATGGTTATGTGTGTACTTTACAAGTTGGTTTATACATTCACTATGTTTTTATTGGTTTGCCAGACAATTCATTTGTTGTGTAGAGGCATTTAACTTCATGTGGTCTACATGATCAATTTTGTGTTTTTCATGTCCAAATGTCATTGGGCAGGCCCATGTTCTGAAGCATTTCTCACCTCTTTATTTTGTAAATTTTGTAACTTGTTTCTTATATGCAAATCACCAATCAAACAAATAACTATAATTAGAGATGTATCATTTTTTTCTTATGGGAGATACTTTATTTGACAATTTTCTGTCACATCTTAAATCAACGAATTTGTGCCTGGTTCACTGAAAAGTATCAGAAAACCTCTCAAGGAAGACCATAGAGAAGACAACTGTTAGTATGGTGGATGCACTGTGATAAGTAATTGGTGATGGGTGATTCCCACAACAAAGCTGCAAAACAACTAATCAGGTTATAGTCTTGCTTAATAATCACAAAATTACACAAGTGAAGGCTTGTCTGGAGATAACATTGAAGTAGATATGGGACATTACTCTTGAGATAATATGATCTAATATCTAATTACTGCAGACAATGAATAGGTTACAGACACAAGTAGCTATAATATTGATGTTCAACCTAGAAAACCTATAGATTTACTGAAATTAGTTACAGGATTATGGGCAAGAGGTTACATACAGGAGCAAGACTGTCTCAAATATGGAAGCATCATGAAAAGCCCATACCAGCAGAGGTGATGGCTCATAAAATCTGGAACCCTCAGACTTACTGAACATCTTGTAGGGAGTTCCATGGGCAGCTTGAATTGTCTGAAACTCTTCCAGGAAGCTAGTCTTCTCAGGAGCCTTCAGTGCTAACATATTCTTGAGAAAGGAGGGGCCTGCACATCTGATTAGTTGTGAGGACTCCTGGACTGTTCTGGGGCATTTATCTTTTGAGTATTAAAGAATGCTCCTTTAGAATTTCTAAATATTTGCATGATGGAATTTTCCCCTTCCCTTTGAAACATCAAAAATCATCATGAGTGTCCTTCCAAGAAAATTGTTGCACAGTAGAGATGCATAACAGAAAATTTGGCATGAATGGGAATGGGATGAGCTTGCACATATAGTACATTAAGAAATCCCTCGAGTTTTTTTTTAATCAGAGAAAAATATGTCCAAATGACTTCAGAGTAGAATTTAATCATACTAACAACTGTATTAATCTATAATCAGCATTAGATTAAGTGTACTGAACTTTCAGCATGATGTCAATAAATATATTCAAAAATTTCATCTCAACAAAGCTGCATTGCCATTTTTGACTATTAAATGCTTTAGAATCTTTTTACAGTGGGAGAATGCATGAGGAGGTACTATCTCAATATCACTCAGAGAAATGTTATTTTTAAGACTTTTACTTAATAGCTATTATTTTTGTAAGGAATTAAAAAAATTAAAGGTTAACCATATTTACTATTACATTATTTTCAAAATATACGGAAGGTAAATTAAATGAGAAAAGGTTTTAGGGAAACTGAAGAAAAGATCAAGGAATTCATGTTATTTCTTGACAAAAATTGAGAAATACAGTACATGCCAATTCTAGGGCTCAGGTTTCTGTACACGTGTGAGTAGGACCACAAGAAAGAACTAATAAAATAAATTGAAGAAAAGCATGCTTGAACATTTTGTAAATGTCAGAAATATTAGTAAATATCAATATCTTAGAAGAAAGTATAATTTCTAAGTGAAAAGTCCTTGTATTGTGGAACAATTAGGATATATACGTGTAGATAGGGCACCAAAATATCAATTGAGATCGATTAAGCTCTAGTTAACAGTAATTTTATGCCAAATATGCAGCTACCTATTACCTAAAATGTGAAAAGACTTCCTACAAAATTTATTTTCAATGGGACAAAATTATTACCTACATTTCAAATGTGATGTCTTTTTGGTTTACTCTGACATCAGTGAATCAAAAATCAAAAAATAAATTATTAGTTGCTAACCTACAAAGGAGGTGATTTGGTGTAGTATTAGAAGTATATCAAATAACCTAATTTGAGAATTTTTCACTATGTGTTGTCAGAATTAAAAGAATAAAACATTGGAAAGAACTGTACATGCATATAAGATGGCTCTATATTAATTATAGAAATGTTTAGAATATTATTACTAAAGAGACATGGACAAAATGAAGAAAAACTGATCACAGGAATTTTATGTGTGTGTCTGATTTCACAGAAAGTTTTACTATAATGGGATCAGAGGAAAATGTTGTGTTGCTTTATTGGAAAAAAATGGTGAAAAAAATCTTTTCGCTATTCAGATAAGTTACTAATGAAATACATAAAAAATACTTCACATAAGTGTAGATCACTGCACCAATAAATTAATTTATAAGAACATGAGTAAATTAAATATAGCTTAAAAACCACACAGGCTACCACAGTGTAGATCATGCCTCACAAATTCTCATCTTAGACTGTCTCTGCTCAAGTTCTCTACAATTCAATAAACAGTAGCCTCCTCAGCCACTATGATGCAACTATAACAGTTGGGAGGTGGCTTTAGAATGTTGTCACCAGTGATTTCTCAGATTTTAAGTGTTGTTGACTTCTTCAGTTTTAGGGATTCTATATTCCCTATGTAATAGTTACATAACGGGAGGCTGTTGCTTCTGACAGTCTGTAAATATGGAATATCTTCAACTCCTAAAACCAGCTAGAGATTGAAACATAGTGTGATTGGCTATCTTGTAAATGAATTGATGATTATTTATATCTGAGTTTATAAACTCACAATTTCAGAAGTATTTGTATTAGACATTTTTCTCATTATATTAGAATGAGGACTTTTTCTTGTTTGAGAATCAATAGCATCCTTATAATAGAATACCAGGATTTCATAATGTTTTAAGATACTAATATAATGTAACTGTGAGGAACTTAAATTTTTAAATTTAAATTAGAAACAAGTTTGCTTCACATGTTATTCCCGGGTCCCTCTCTCTCCCTCCCTTCCTCTGCCTCCCCCCTTCAACCTTCCCCCAACCTCTGCTCAAATCCCCACTCCAAGGAAGGTAAGGCACTTCATGGGGGATCTCAAAAGCTTGTCATATGATCCATATGATCCGGGCCAGGGCCTAGGCCCTCCCCAATGTGTTCAGGTGGAGACAGCATCTCTCCATGTGCCCTGTCATTCAGATGGACTTTGCAAGGATGTTAGGTGTGGGAGGAGGGTGGGGGGAAAGGGAGAGGGACCTGGAATTGACATGTGAAGCAACCTTGTTTCTAATTTAAATTTAAATTTAAAAATAAAAATTAAAAAAAGTAATGAAAATACATAGGGGGAAGCTAGCATAGCTCACAAATACATACATGGTAAGGACTTGGTGATTACTTAATGGATTATAACCATCAGTTAATCTGAACAAAAGTGGGTCTACTTGTGAGTGACAATTTATGTGGCCTAAGCCATGAAATCTGACTGACTCTATATTTTATATCAGCCACTACACATGCTTAACCTTTACTTTCACATCCCTATGCTACACATTTTCCATTTTAGACATGTTTATAAATTCTCGTTGAATTGGGACGACTACAATACATTTTCCTCTGTGAATTAGCACACAAAATTACAGAGAACAAATGATCCTAATGATGAACTGCCTCAGGGCTCCCTTGATTTCTTTGCTCCTCAAACTGTAGATGAATGGATTCAACATTTGAGGAACCACACTGTACATCACAGATGCTATTACATTGCTACTGGAAGAGTTAGACACTGAAGAGCTCATGTACACACCTAAGCCAGTCCCATAGAATAAAGATACCACAGAAAGATGAGATCCACAGGTGGAAAAAGCTTTATGCCTTCCACCAACTGATGGGATCTTTAAAACAGAGGACACAATTTGAACGTAAGAGAAAATAATCCCAGTGAGAGGAATAATTGAAAATATAATGGTTGAAGTATAAATAAAGGTAATATTGATAAATGTATCAGAACAGGCAAGCTTGGTGACCAGACCAAGTTCACAGAAGAAGTTGGGGACATCCTTTTCTGTGCAAAAGGACAGTGGTAACAACAGAAGAGTATGGAGTAGTGCATTTATAGTGCTGATGAGCATGGAAAGTAATACTAGCAAGATGCATAGGAAAGGGTTCATAATGATTGTGTATCTTAGAGGTTGACAAATGGCCACATAGCGATCATAAGCCATGACAGTGAGGAGACAACTTTCTAAAACACAAAATGTCAGGATCAAACAAACCTGGGAAAGACAGCCTATGTAAGTGATGCTCTTGTCATGTGCTTGGATGTTCAATAGCAACTTTGGGACTGTCGTTGTACTTGTACAGATATCAGTGAAAGATAGATTGCACAGGAAGAAGTACATGGGAGTGTGGAGGTGGGAGTTTATGCTTACAGCCAGGATAATTAGTAGGTTTCCCATGATGGTGATGAGGTACAGGAACAGGAACAATTTGAAGATGAGGGACTGTAGATCAGGGACATATTCTAGTCCCATGAGGAAGAATTCTGAAGTATATGTTTGGTTTGATGGTTCCATGCATATGCTGAATATTAACAAAAAATGGGCAATGAAAATTTGGTATCAATTTTATGTAGCAAATATCAACACAACATTAGTGTGGGACAGATACAAACATAATTTTAATAATTTTATGTATTTTCTTGATAGAGATGTACATATAAAACAGGCTGAGATATTAGATATAAGAAGAGGAGAATTGATGGAAGGAAATGTTTTCATTCTCACAATGAATGGGAAAGTAGCAATGGTAGCAATTATCATGTGGTATACTAATCATTTCACAATTCTGAATTTTTAAGACATGAATGATACATATCATGTTAATAAGGCAGATCATATATTTATTTCAGGTTCTTATATTAGTGTTTTAAATCTTCATAAACTACAACTGAATGAGAAATGAGTGTATTCCTCTTGAGGTAATATTCAGTTCACAACTAAACCTTCTTCAGCCATCATATTGAATGTCTTAAATTTGTGGGACTTTTATTTTTACATGCATACTGGAATTTTGCAAATGATTTTATGGAAAAATTTCAATGATGAAAAGCAAAATGAACAAAAGTTGCAGACATAATGCTGGGTATGTAAGATCATTGATTTGATATTGCCTATCGTGTGTGTGTGTGTGTGTGTGTGTGTTTATTTTTGTATCTTCATTGAGCAAGAGTATATGTCAGGTTTCTTTATCCCCAAAGAAATGATACATTGAGGCAGGTAATACTATAAGAAAAAGAACATTTTTAACCTGAAGAATGTCAATCTTGAGTAAGAGTTTACATCATTACACCACCACCAATCTTGGTCATGTAGAAAAGGAATGCAAGAAGCATGAACCATAGTTACAATATTCATTTAGCCTAGACACATGATATATTATATAGTGATAATCCAATTAAATAACACTTAATTAGTTAATACTATAAATATATTTTGATTGTAAGCCTAAGAAGCATATCATTTGAAGAAGTGTACATCACAGCAATATTTTAGGTATTTTTGAATCTGCAAACATTGAAGTATTTACTGTGGATTATGCTATATAATAGACAGCAAATAAATAATGCAAGGTTGGTTAAATGACAATAAACAATAAAATACATACCTTTCCCACTTATTGCTTTACTTGCTTTTCATATATAACAAACAATAATTGAAGCTCAATCCCTCACATAACACTCAAATTCCTCCTTTTCTAGGGAAAATAACCACACTTTCACAATGTATACCATCCTATCACAATATTCTCTTTAGGATCATTATTCTAAGTAATATAACTGCATTGTCTTGTAGTTAAAACCTATATTCTTATAAAAGCAGAACATATATTTTATTTAAACTGGTATGCTTAATTGATATTTTTAAAATTATTGCTAATATGTGCATTCACCCTTTATAAATTTTAATTAATACTATATTCCAACATTTGGCCATAACACACAGATTGCTTCCTTTCTTTTATTCACAAATGCATATGCAATACAGATAAATGTAGAAAAGATCTGATTGAATTCACAATAAAATATTTTTGCCATAAGATGAATGAAGGGAAATAATCAAGGAGTAAATTTTATATGTATATTATTTAATTATTTTAGTAAAATATGAAACGCAACACAATTTTAGCACTGGTTAATTTGTGTGAAGAAGCAAGGTATTTTCATGTGTATCTGCTACCATGTTTAATCACTTACCTCATTTTGTCCCCCTTGTCCTTCTGATCTCCTTCTAATAAATTTTAGTGAGACACACAGAACATAGTGCAGAACACAGGCAGACTATTGGGGAACAAAATGAAACCTTCTCAATGGGATAGTGGAAAATGCCTACAGAAATCATGTCAACCTAAGTTTTAGGTAGTCTTTATACTATTTCTTAGTGTTTATGAAACAGATTTGTGAATGGTATTGCTATATATAGAAGACTGACAGACCGTTTTGGATTAATTCTCAAAGGAGGTAGCAATGCTTATATTTGTTACTGAACAGAAAGCCTCCTCATAGATAGAAACATCATGTTATTTCTATTTGAAATATTATGTCTCTCCCCAGGGTGGCAAATTTGGCCCAGACCCCATTTTTTACATCAGTAATCAAAATGCATTTTTCAGTGTTTGAATGTTCTCACTAAAACATGGAAGTTCAGTTTTCATGACTTCCAGCCTGTTATGATCAGAATATGTAACTAACCTAGTGCTGCTATTCACAATCTTTGGGATGTTTCTACTTACAGTATTTCATATTGACTAGGAAGATTCAAGATGCTGCTTTGTATAGTCTGCCTTTCTCCCTACATCTCAAAGCCTCTTAATTGATTGCACTATGTCTTATGATTCATGTAAGAATCAGTAAAGAAAATTAAAGATGGACTGTCTATCAAGGGTTGAACATACCCCAAATTCATATTTATGCATAATACCTAAGATGCTTGATTTTGGATATGATTTCTTGAAAAAATAAATTAAGTCAGAATGTGACAAATTATGGTATCCTGGTCCAATATGACTTCTGTACCTGCTAAAAGAAAAGACTGGGAATATACATAAACACATTTCTGCACACACAGAAACACACACACACAGAAACACACACACACAGACACACAGAAACACACACAGAGGAAGAGAGAGAGAGAGAGCGCGCGAGAGAGAATAACAGAATAAGAGTTAAATTAAAGCACAATGAAATGTAAGCTTCCCCAAGTTTCAAAAAAGTAATCTGAAGACATTTGAATTTTGGGTTATATAAGCAGACTGAGAGATGAGAGAAGTGTCAATGTTATTATAAACAAATATGATAATGTTAAAGAAGAGTATCAACAAGTGACACATGAAGTAAAAACTCTTATTTCTCATATTTTTTAATGCTTCATATCTTCTTAGAATAGAATTGCAAACACTTGCCCTCATTTTCAAAGTACTTAATATGGTATCACAAATACCTGCTCTCTTACAGGCAATGGTACTCAGAATCTTACCTGGCTGTTGCACAAAATGAGTGCCTCAGTACTTAATTGGTTCCTGGAAGAGCATGATTACCTTTGGGTGAAAGATCTGATATTTCATCCGACCATACAAAGAACACAAAGGATTTGGTCACAGGCTATATCTGACAGTGTAGTGTAGGTTTTTCCGGTACTCAATATCCAAAGCTCCCTATTAGGACACCTATTTTACTATAATTCTAATCCCAGTAGAGCCGGCCTTAATGACTGAATGTATAGAAACGCGGAATTCAACATGCATGATTTTCTGACCCCTGGGGGTAAGAAAACTGTACCCAGTCTTTTGCATTGTTTCTGCTCATTTTGTTATTAATATTTTCAATGTTTTTACTGTTAGTGTTGCAAAAACTATTCTTTTTGTTTTGTAAATTTTATGTAGAAATTTCCAATCTATGTTTTGATTTATAGTATCCTTTGTTTACTAAGTTAAATATTTGATAATTTTATATATACATAAAATGCATTTTGGCCAGGCAGTGTTGGCACATGCATGCTTTTAAAGCCAGAACTCAGGAGGCAGAGGAAGCCAGATATATGTGAGTTTGAGACCAGCCTGGTCTACAAGAGCTAGTTCCAGGACATCCTCCAAAATGACAGAGAGACCCTGTCTCGAAAAACCAAAAAAAAAAAAAAAAAGCATTTTGTCTACTGTCCTCCTATCATTTCTCTTTCTTATGTTATTAACAACTCCCTGCCCGACCCCTTGTTAATTTGCTAGACTCAAGATTTTTGGTATTTTACCCGACACATTTAATTCAATCACAGGCATCTAAGTGATAATCAGTTGGGATTTACTCGTTAAAGACTGCTGAGGCAAGAAGTGGGCATACAACTCCAGACATTAATTCCATTTTCCTTAAATCTACCCACAGGAAAAAGTCCAGCAGTCATGGGTGAGTCTTCCCAAGTCACTCCTCCATTCACCCCTCGCTGTCGATGGCTCCATTCTTCTTCAAAACCAATGGAATCAACTATAGCTAGTGAGAACTCATGACTACAGTGGGATTATGGTCCAGAAGATGATATTTTGCATTCCTTATGTTCCCTATCTTATGTTTCCTACAGTCTTTTTCCCCATCTTCCTCAGTGTTCCCTGAGCCTTAGAGAGTAAAGTATTAATATCTTATATAGGACAGAAAACTTAGCTATAACTTATTTTTTGTTGTTGCAGCACAAGTCTCTGAATTCATTGAAGCTTACTGGAAATAAAACCTTTCCTGATTATGGCTGAAAGTTATTTCTAAGGTAGACATACACACATATACACACATACACACACATATGGAGACAGTTTTGCAACTTCAATTATGTACTAGGATTAATTCCTCAAAGGGACCATGACCTCACATACATTGGGCTTCTGTACAGGCATACTGTAACTAGTATGCATTAATTCCTATGGAGTGTCCCCTTAAATTCAATCATGAGGCAATAACTTACCATTTTAACATTTGTGTCATTATCACATGAGTGAGTGTATATTGCCTGGTATGTGAATAATGCTGGTGGCCATGGTATAGGAGTAGCAGTTAGCAATTGAAGTTCAGGAAGCAGTCCACCAGGAAGTAACTCCTTGATGGATGAATCTCTGGTAGGCAATACCCCAAGACTACAGATCCCAGAATGTCGTTTACTTCAATATGCCTTTATGTGTTTGCTGCTGCCATCTTTCTCTGGTATCTGGTATGCTGTGAATGGGTTTATGGAGATCACCACTGCTTGTAACACAGTGTGTTTATCTCATGGAAACATTCAATTATAATGGGCTTTCAGTAGATTAGCATAGGAACCCACCACTGGACTGGGAGAGTTTTGCAAAATAACTACTAACTGGGATGTCTTTATCAAATTCTTTTTTCTCTCAAGGCCCAATCTCTGTATGGATGAAGAAACTGACAGAATGTGTCAGAAATATTTTACATACGCAATAAATATGTTCACAGCACAATATGTTCCTATGTTCCAAGCTCTGAGAGGGAGAAGTGGTGATTCCATTCCTAACCAAGAAGCTT